CGGTCACATTCTTGGCCTCAACTAACACTATATTCACAACACTATCCCAAAGTTGAGTCTTTAGTTTCTTGACTGCTGTTTCGCCACCACTTCCTACACTCACAGTCTTTGTGCCGCGACTGAAGTGCTAACAACATTTAAATTATATGTCAGATATGAACAATAACTGTAACTATCATAGCAAGCACATACAGTAATATTTTAATAATTTAATGGAAATAATATGAATGAATACCATTTCTTTTTCTTCCTGAGTTTTAGCAATTAGAGTGACCGTTAAAAATATTTCACCCCATGATTGAGCGCCTGTATCTGCCTCTAAACCCGATTCAGTCAAAGCTAAATGCAAATCTGTTGGACTATTGGAAATGAAACAATTAAATTTGAATACAAATAAATAGGTCATTATTTGCGCCTACTGTTGGAGATCAAGTTTTGTCAAATCAATAGAAGTGGCGCCGAGGAAGTCGTCCTGAAATCCAAAATCATAGTCATATGCTTTGATGAGGACGGGCTGAAAGACATCTTCAATGGGAATTACAAAATACTCGTCCCATTTGGGGTCCAGACATTTATTAACAATTCGACTTTTATATACAATTTTATTTCCAATCTTAAATTTCACGTACGGATCACTGGTTCCTATGAACACAAATTATATAAGAGTTTATTATTATGTAAATATTTAACAAAAATACCATAAATTTTATGGCAGAGAGTGAATATATGAGAGAATATAACGGAATAAATGTGTACCGCAGGTGTCTTTTGCCAGCAAATTGGTGGCACAAACCAAATGAACCTCCAAATGGTAAAAGGGATGTTGTCTTAAAATTGTAATTCTCTGACGACTTAATGCTAATTCCTGTCAATATTTTATAAAAAGTAAGAAAATTGTCGTTAAAAATGTGTACTCACTAAATATTTATGGTTGTGAATGAATTTTTTCATTTTTCTTGGATAAATTGTTTTACTTAAAAAGTTAAACATTAATTTATTAAAACTCAGAGCAGATGTTAATAAAACAATTTTTGACACATTTTAGAGCTTTAATTATGAAAAGAGTATAATTTGTTACACAAAACATAGTAATTGTAAATCTAATCAGTAATAGCATCGCAACAAAAAGCCTCTAAATGGTTGTATAGATTTAGATACCATAACAATACAGAGTACTGTATATTTCAGTTCCTGATACCAACTTTTCAAACGGAAAGTAAATCTCTTGTAATAAATTACAGATAGAGTAAAACAATACAGAATAGGAGATTAATTGAATATTTCTTGTATTTTTATAATACAGAACTTATTTAGTAAGTTATGTAACGCGAATTACTTGGCTTTAAATATAGACAAATTATTCATAATTCAAATTTGAAAGTAAAAGTCATTAAAATAAAAGGATAAGAACCAACACTTCTTAACTAATAATCAATATCTTTATGATATAACTATTTTCATGATATTCTCCTTTAATGATTATTTTAAACATTTAGAAAGTAGTGTATAATATAATTACTACATAGTGTACATCCAATATCTGAAAAAGTTTCAATACCTGTTTTTAATTTCAATTTTAAATAATTCTAGTAATGGTAGAAAAATAATTAGTAGTGGAATAGAAAGCCTATTAAATATTGTATAATAACTGATCGAGATGACTTTTTAGTGATCAAAGAGAAAAGGGTATTTTAAGTTTTTTGATTGTTTCTAAGTTTTGACTTCATAATTTTCATAAACCTGTCAAATTTATCCTAATAAAGTTAATATAGTCAACTAAAGTGGAAATGAACAAGCACATTTCAGACTTTAATTTTAGTAACTATGATATAAAAATTCTATAGCTTTAATGAAGTTATATAGGAAAATTTCTTATGCTATATTTTTGTAATTTATCACAATATAACTTTTTGAAAAAAATCTTCACAACCAATAACCAAACAACTAAATTGGTCATGGTATATGTTAAATTATAGAACACTATTCCACTAATTAAACACAAGTTATAAAATGTCTGCTCACATAAGCTGAGCACATGACTAGATAATTATAAAATTATATATAAATTTAATACTACCCATGCTAAAGTATTAGTTGATTTAATGGTCGATATATTTTGCAGGAGAGGTATGGTACTTATTGATAGTATAATCAATATCGATTACTTAAAACTACCCTTAATAATTTGTGCCACTTTAGAAAAATCAGCTCATAATGTATTTTCAATGCATTATTTTTTCAGATATTGGGTGTACACCGTGTATAAGATCATAAATATTTAAAAAATTTGTGTGTTCCAATAACATAAATATGAAAATTGAATTAAATTCTTTGTAAATTAAAATATAAAATAATAGTATATTTATGTAGCAGTGTCGTTCTAATAGTTGGTTTAATACAAAAAGTTATATTTCATTAAATATTTG